ATATATACATAAATAAAAATATACATAAAGGAGGTAGCTAATTGGTCATTTTCAACTAAAATTTGCCAAAAATTACTTAACAGAATGGAAATCTAGGTCTCAATGCGGTAATTTGTTCTTCTACTCACTAACAACTGAATCCTGTTGCGAACCTGTACATTGGATAGTTTACAAGCAACAAGGATGTATAGTCCTCCTTCATAGTACACTGAAATCATGTATGCACCTCTTAAGTAGCTTACTTTGAAAGACAATATATTGGAAATACTCAAGAGGTGGCCTGAACCTTTGTCAGTCTGTGCACATTTCAATTCTAGATTAAACTATAAATCCTTTACTCTGATCAATAGATGTGATTAACATTTCACCTAATGCTTCACACACTCTCTTGGTGACATAAAATTAGAGAGTTATTAAATTCAAACACACAAGCATAATGACTGTTACAGAAGAAGAGATGAAGATTCTCAAATCTCTCATAAAACTGCAGGAAACAACATTAAGCTAAGGTGAGGAATAAAATCGTAACTCCTCTGAAAGTTCTGTTATGACTTAAGAATATGGAAAGCTTTCAAATAGTATGTTACAAGTGGAAGGTTTATAGAAGAGCAGAACTGACTTCTAGCACAATTCTGGTAGCTGGGACTATATAGCAGAAATGTAAGCCCCTGTTTGCCATTGCAAGCTCTTCAGGGAGTACAGAAGAGGCCTTCACAGAAACCTCCCCCCATACAGCCAGGTAAGATCTCTTTGAGCACTGCTGACACACAGCTTCAACCTCCTTTTATCAGCCAAGACAACCCAGCACCTCCTGCTGGAGTTCATGACTGACAGTCTCAAGAGGAGCTCCTCGGGCTCTCTGAATTGAGAGCTACCTCTTTACTCTTGGCCATGCCCAGCAGACAAGACTCTCACTGGTTCTCTCCTCATTCCAGACAAAGTTGTCAGATTAACCCCTTCCTGGTCATCCTCTGGTTACTGGCACTTCTCTAGTTCTTGGCTGAGGAAAGATGTGTAAATAGTAAAAGGACTATCCAGATAAATCCAGTTCTTACTCCTTCATTTCTTACAACCCATAAGCATCATGCTTGAATCTTAGAAAATAAGAGACTTTCCCAGGTCTTTTAAGCAACACAAGAGATGTTCACTTGCTAATGCTTCCAGCTCCATCCATACCAAACATTCTTCTTCTATGCTGCAAAGGATTCTTCAAAAAAGCAGTTGGTAATAGTGAAAAAACTTGATATACTTCATTAGAACAATGTTCCCATGAAATGTTACAGTTTGAACACAAGTAACTTACAGAATATTGAAAATTTTCAGAGAAAATCCAGAATGCCCTTCATTTATTAACATCTCTCTCAAACTGGTCCTTAATTTCACAGCTGTCCCATGAGCAAATTTCTTTCTTTATTTGCTTTTTGAACTCCACATCTGTATGTACTATACTTTTCTCATAGTAAAGGTTTCTCAAGATACAAAATAAAACTCTATTAAATAAGTTATTTTTTTACTCTAGCACAACTGCAATTTTTAACCTAGATTTACATTGGAATAACATCATACTTAAAACACTGCATTTTTTAAAAGACACTGTATCAGGACCTAAATCTTCTACTCATGCTATGGAAATATAAAAAAGTTTATGGCTTTGTTTTCCATATCCATTTTGTAACCCACAGTGTTGTGCTTACCAAAAAACAGGAAAGAAAAATATTGAAGATCTTCAATGTAAACTAAGTTATACACTTACAGCCCAGTTATAATACTCTGATTAAATATTTCCTTTTCAACCCACAGTTTGTTGCCACCTAATATTACTAGATACTTCAGAATTAACATTGTAATCCACCCTCTGATGTTTTCTTGAGAACATCCTCTCAAAGTTGAAGAAGCATATTTCTGAAATACAATTACATGGTTGTGTTACTTTGATTTTCTAGTGCCTTTTTTTTAAGGTCTCTGAGACTTTAACTAGCCATTGAATTTACCTTATAAAGTTAAATAACATTTTTCCATCAACTGCTATATATAAACATAAAAAGTAAAACAGTCAGAAGAACTTACGCTTTCCATCATCACTGTATCTGCCAAGGTAAGGTGGAATTTCAGCCTGGTACTGTGAACCAACCATTATTTCCTGAAGGTGTAATAAAAATGAAGAGAGAAAGGTATTATCTTAGTATTTTGTGTATGGAAGCATTAAAAATGCCATTAATCTGGGATGTGGCAGAGAATTTAAGAATTAAGGTACTGTTTTAGATACATACTATAAATCTTAATGCATTTTTCTTAACAGTAAAGTTTTTTTAACTTTTTAAAAAAGATATAATTACTACCTTTCTCAAATCTTCAGATGAATTACCATTGTCTGCCTCTACATCTTCACCATCTGATTCCTTATCTCCATCACACGTAGTGTTTGCTTCAGACACAAAAAAGTTTGTCTTTTAGTTAGGAAGAATTTTCAGTTCAAGTACAGAACTACAAGATATTCCTTACTTTTGAAAGGAGCACCTGCTTTTATTCTGGGAGACATTAATCATGAGTCTGTTGATCTACACTTCTATCAGAAGCCTGTTAATCTACATTTCTATCAAACTAGCATGAAGTCAGAAGGCACATTTGTATGCTGTAGAATTGAAACATTTATCATCACTGCAACTGAGACAATCTACTGTATTTCCAACAATCAAAAAGAAATGGAATTCTTTTTCTTCATAAATTTTCTCAACAAAGGCTTATACCTTGCAGAAGAGCTATGAGAAAAACAGAAAACTTCCAGGGCTATCACTTAGCCTCAGGTTAATCACAAAGAAAGTAAACTGGAAGGTATGTCTTTATTATCTACTAAAACCTTTCACGAGAAGTTTTAATGGGCATTCAAAACATTCCTTTAAAGAAGACTGCCTCAGCATAGAGTGAAGATACAGGAGAGACATAGTACAAAATGGAATAAGCAAAAGACAGCAAAAGACTGCTTATTCCTCTTTAATAATTTTTTTCCCCCTTAGGAAGAAATACAGCAGAGTACTCCAAGCAATTGAAATACAGTACTCCATCGAAGAACTCATATTTCAGAATCTGGAAAACTGTGGTACTGAGTTCTGAAGTAACTCTATTTCTATAGCTGTATAATCCCCGCCAGAATGGAATCTACAGTTCTGATATGATTAAAGCTATTTTGTATTCTCAAACTTCAGAAACAACATGTTCATAAATAGGCTTGAACCCAACTAAACAGAATCATCAATATCAGAAACAATATCCAACACTGTGTGGGGACTGATGCTCTTCTTCTGTATTCATTACTACAATCACAAGTCTACCTTTTTGCTGTCAGAAGTAGCAAGCAAGAAGCTAACATGAATGCATGAAATAGAATTCCTATTATTATCCAGGCACATTTTTTTTCCCAATTAATGCAAATTTAATAAAATAGCCTGTATTATGTATTAATATGTTTATCTTAAAACTTAATGTTATCTTAGTATCTCAGAAATGGACAGAGATGAGAAAAAAGATGAAACTGCCAACAGCACAGAGAACTGACTCCCTGAAATGGTGGGTATTTGATTTTAAAATGTCCAAACAAAATAATACAGAAATAAGTAATAATGGAGAGAAAGTAATACGTAATAATAGACAAAGTAACATTCTGATAAAAAACCCATGATAGCTGAAAACAAAGATGACTGTTTCTTAATCCTCAGTAAGATGAAAGGCTAATTATTTTTTCTATAAAGCTGTCGCACTTTCAGTGTCATATTCATTAACAGTTCACAAGCAAGGTTTAAGTGCCAGCAAGTCTGGGGTTTGCTTAACTGAAAAAAGGGTGTTATAATTTTTAAGGTTTTTGTATCTCTCTTTCAATACAAATGTCTTACATCAGCAGCATGCAAATGAGTACAAATGCTGATGACTGAGGCACCCCCTTTATCATCCCCCTTCTCTACAGAAACCCCCAGGAACAGCTTAAGATACCTGCCAAATCAAAACTGTGATAAAAATCTTCCATATTGCTCTAACTCTAGTACACCAATGAACAAACAAGCTACAACAAGCAATGAGGAATACCTTATCCAGGTTGGATAACTGGTATTTAGATCCTTCCCATAATAACTCCATGGGTAGTGAAATTTTGGTGGCCATGGGTTTATAAGCCCCATCCCATAAAAAACCACTTTGTTTCACCCCATGAAGTCCTATGGAAAAGTGTTGAATGTCTGAAGGGACATAATTGCAGAGAAACTGAGTCCCAGTTCACGTCCACAGGCTCCATGGGAGAGTCACTGGCTCAAAAGCAGCAGCAAAAATTTTACTAGAGAAATAGTAATTTAAAACAATGGGTTACATATTCAGGTAATTCACTAATGTATTGAAAATCATGAAAGGTGTTCCTCAATGACACATTAACTATTAATTATGAAGTTATTGTATTTGTAGAGAAATTAATTTTACTTGTGCTTTGAGCACAGTACCAAAGATAAGTCTTTTAGGTAATCAGTAATACCAATCAAAGACAACATCCATGTACAACATCCTGCAAAGCACTGCTTCTCAATTCTCAGTAAAGTCAGCACTACTTTGCAATTTTGATATTTTAAGCTAGGAAGCTATATATAATGCTAAGACTTTTTGAGTACTATATAAAATTACATCTTAATGGCCGAGGGAAGAAGTCAGTGGCCTCATGTGAAGTAACTGATGGTGTCAAGTCATCAGCAGAGGACTGTGTTTCTTCATCATCACCCGACAAGAGGTCTTTAGCGATTTCCTCCTGTATCATCAAAATAAAAAAAATAAAACCTCAGACTGACTTAAGTACAGACTGGTGAGCATTTAGATTCAGAAAATGTTAAGTCTCATTAATTAAAAAGAATTATTTTACTGTAAGTAAATTTAGCACAACACACTCCCTTAATTAAAAAGCTAGTTTGCTCCTCCTAAATCTAAGAACAAATATAACCATTCATTGAAGAGTTGAACCCAGGAGTTCATTTCCCCTTTGTCTTCTATTGAAATAAACACACAAGAAGTAGCTTCTGCAAGCACCAATCTCAGATGTTCCTCCAGCTGCTTCCAATGAAAAATACCAGTGGCAACTGCCTCAAATCTTTAGAATTCTGTCATTCTTTGCATCACAGATCTAACAAAGCTTTAAAAGGCTGTTACCCCTTAAATTCTGTGATAAAAAGTAAAACAGACTAGCACTTTTGTACAGTTTTGCCAAGAGGCCTGTTACACACAAAAGACAACCCGTTACCTTCCCAAAACACACAAAAAAAGATGTTTCTGTAGGTTAAATAAAAAGATACTAAGATAGAAAAAGCACACTTCCCCCACTAGCAGACACATTTGAACCCCTCTGTGTAGAGGTTAGGAAGGGAAAGAACTGTATTAGACAACAAGCTGACTACATTTTTGTAGCCTCAACACAATCGTGAATCCTAATGAGAATCAGATGTGCAGAGCCATCATTATAACCTACTTTCTGTGGAGTTTACCATGACATCATACTTACAGAAAGTAAAAAAACCCAACAAAATAACCAACTTATACTTACTACCTACATACTTTAGAATCCAAACTATAGCCAAAAATCAGATCAAAATCTCAGAATTCCAAGCTAGCTTGCAAACCACAAAAACTAAAGTTTCAGGTTTTTACATCAGCAATATATGACATACAGTCACTGCACATAGACAAATCCCTCTCTCACAGCCCAAAGCTGAGACCTTTCCAAATTATATGCATTTGAAAGCAACATTCCAAAGTATTCAGCAGTGCATTTCCAAGTCATTCACAAACTTTTTGATACTTTACATGCATCCAGAATTACTATTCCTGGACACTGCCCACATAACAAAAAAAACTGCCCACTTATTCAAAGCTGTTTGGATGTGTTTTATAAAAACTGTTAACTTACTCATTGCTCATTGGTAGTACTATAGTGCCACTAAAGTTGCTATGCATTTGTACATGTGAATTAGAATCAGAGTTTCAAAATCCTTGAAAAAGAATGAATTCAGAGTAATAGCATATGTTGCAATTGACAAAGATTCATATTTTATAACATCAAGAGATAGTGAAATATAGTTTAAGGATCACCTGGATTCCTGCTATGAAACCATAATATAGGGGAAAATGGTTCTGACTTACTTTATCTAGAGTCATATCTGGAAGTTCATCAGCAAGTTCACTTGGAGAGCTATCTGCACTGGAACCTGCCATAACTGGAATTGTGGGTTCGTAGCCATAGAATGCCAGTAAATCTTCCAATGGCATACTTCCTTCCTAATACAAGAGGATTTAGAAACATTTCAATATATTGCCAAATACTTGTAACAAGTTCAGGCCTAAAAGGCTAAGACATATTTTGAAAAACAAAGTGAAAACAAACAAAGAAAAAGCTAATTGAAAGCAGGAATCTTGATTAAAGATTTCAAAGTATTTTCAGGCACAGGACTGAAATAATTCATAACCATGTCCCTTGGCATATAGTGAAGTCCCATCAAACTACTGAAGAAAACTGTTTACTGGATGAAACTAAGAAGTAATTATTAAAACTTTGCTCCTTATCCGATTCATACTGTAGAGCACCATTTGCCTATATTTCTTAAAGACAGAAGATATCCTAGAAACATTTACAACCCCCACTACAAGAGAGAAATGCAGAAAAACTTAAAAGACTTTAGTCCTACATAGGTACTGCTGCAAGTGTGCAAAAACCCACAAAAGTAAACCAATAGAGCAACTTTTAAGCACTCCATCTCCTGCACAATATATTTTATAATGACCACTGACAAGGTAACAGGGGAGACAGCTAATGATACAGAAGGCAAAAATCAAGAGAAAGTCTTGAATCATAACTTGTTTTTTCCAATGGCTTTTGATCAAGTGATTTTAGTAAATATCACTACACTTGCATCCTAATGCAATTAATAAAACAGTGGATATTTTTTTAGTTACCTGATTCAAGCTGAGAAAATACTAAAAATATTTTCCAGTATTTATACCTTTAGCAGTTATATTACCTTTAAAAATTTCTTATTGAACTCATACACTGATTAAATTACTTGTTTTCTTTAGTCAGCTAAGGTCTTAGTCCCGCAAAGACTTTTCACAATGGGTAAATGCCAACTCATGTCCACGTCTTTGCAGTATTGGGACATAAAGTAATAAAAGTGTTTAAGATGAGTGGCTCTCAGTTCTTCCTCCTTCTATTATAGAAGCAGTGAGATGATTTTGTGGAGTAACAACTCAATTTTAACCACCAGACTCTGCAATACAGCCTCATATCTGATGCTAAAAATGACACTTTCCTGGAACTCTGTTGACCAAAATCTGCAGTTATGCTGAGTGGTGGTGTAAGTGGGTCACCAAACACTAATGCAGGCAGCATCAATTTGTGGGCGTTCAGCATTCAGTAAGCATTTAAAACGGGTGATGCACTGCCACAGATGAACAAGAGGTGCAAATACGAAAAACATGTAATTAAATAGTGCAAAATGGAATAGGAAAAGCCAAGGAGCACACTGGTCACTTTGTACACCTACCGAATGCCAAACTGGTGAAACTAAGACAGAACTACTATTCACGTAGCAAATGAATGTGTTCCACCATGCCTGAAATGGGACTGTTTGTTTGCATATTGGAAAAGCAAAATCTGACCAACAGAACGAAATACAGCCAGCTGTCACTTAACAGTATGCAAAATATACAGTTTCAACTTATATCCAACTTATAAAACTTAGAAGTGATAAGCGGTATTAGATGACGCTAAAACCTGCTTCAGTGATTTCTCTACCAAAGTGAAAGGGCTGCTAAACGAAAAAGAATATGAACTTAACACTAACAGCTCTGAGAAGCTAAGTTCAGCCTTTTTGTGAGGATGCACTGCTATACCCTAACCAAACTTGATTTTTTTTTCTTTTTTTAAAGAAGTTGCAAAGGCATATTGCAGAAAACTGCAGAATACAACACAAACTGAAGAACAGGTTGAGTTCTAGTGAAAGTTCTAGTGAACTTTTCACTAGATAAGTTTTACCAGAGAAAGTTACTCCTACCTTTTCTAAATCTTCAATTTCAGAGCTGAAATTTTTGCTTTCTTCCATCATTTCCTCTTCTTCAAGAGTTCGCTCATCATCATAATCATGTACCAGCATTTCAGCAGATGGGTCAAAGTCATGATCCTCAGACGATAAAGAGCCAACTATCAAAAAAACCTGATTTGAGTCTTTTTTTTCTATACTAGCACATGAAACCACATCACAGAAAAAAATACGGTTGCATGAATTATTTCACATACAGCGCCAGAACTGTCAGTGGAATAACTGGAACAAATTGCTAACCACTTGACAAATTCAGCTGTTTTAGCTGGCCTTCCTTCTTCATATTTGTAAGCAATAGGTGCATTTTCTCTCTTGCAGTACTTGGGAGACGTACCTGAACTACTGAAACGTTTCAGAAAGTACAATCCCAAATTAATATTTTACTGAATAAAAGATTGTTCAAAACATCCTTGAAATCATTGTCAAGGTACAAAGCACACAACACAAGATTTCAGATGCTGCAAGACTATGATTTATAGGCTCTGATTCTATGTGTGTGACTGCTAAACAACTAACGTTACGTTACGAATCAGCTTCCTACTAACATCAATATAAACAGCGAGACTCGCTTCAAATTAGTTTAGCCTCACAGATGGATCTTTTATTAAAACTAATTTAATTCTTAGCACTTGGGCTAGAAAGGAAGACTCAATATAGCAGAGTTTCAAGAAGTACTGAGGAAAATATACCAGAAATAACAAAAAGCTTTTAATGGATCATATTAATTAACAAGCCATTGTGACAGCACTGTGGTCCAATAGACACTTTTTAATTACTCCAGAGGATACTCATAAGTCGTCAAAAAAGTACTGGTATTATTTTAAGTGGATTTTGTCAACTGGTAGAAAGGTCATCATTAGATTCAACAAGTTTTAAAGACGCAACTATTCTTGCATCTGCGGGGCTCTACAATGAAAATCACTGAACTACAGGGTTGATTTGTTCTTTAATGTTCTTTCTTAGAGCTCGCAGGATGCAGAAAAGAAAAAGATTAGGATATTTCTCTTTCACTTCTGGTTTCCTCTTCTAGTTCTTAAATACTAGTGCTCCGTTGCAGTCCTTGGCTTACAAGTAGCAAAGAAAAGGTTTACTAAGAATTATTTCCATGTAAAAACCTCTTTAGAAGTTTTGAAGGAAATACCTAAAAGTTTTCAATCCTCTTTAAAAAAAAAAAAGCAGTATCCCTCTTTGCACTGCTTCCAGCCTTGAAAGAGACAGTTGTATATGCTAACATTTCTGACTCTGAAAGCATCTACTTAATTTTTCAGCAATTATGCTAAGTGTTCATTCCCTATATGCAGGTAATTAAAGTAAACTTCGTTTGCTTAGCTCACTTAAGACAATACTGTGAAAGTTTGTCATATCGTTCTGCAGAGAAACGTTCAGGCCAAAAATGCTTTTTATTCACATGCTATTCATACTACGGTCTCACAGAACTTTCAGTATAGCTGATAACACTAATCCAATTACAATAATGATATAATGTGTTTAATGGTGTTGGCCATCACATCCTGATCCACATTTAAAGTGTCAACTGCCTTAATCTAATATGTATTTATATATATATGTGTGCTCCACATTATTGCTTTTAATCACTGTTCTAACTCATTTTATGTTGGAGTAACTCAAGTGGAAGTTCTATTTCACTCACAGACCCTAGATAAAAAAGTTCCACTGCTTTAGGAGCTCTGAATGCTCAATATCCCATTTAAAATATTTAAAACCATATTAAAAAATGCAAGCTAAATACACTTCATAAGGGCAGCTTAAAAAAGATGACAATCAGCCAACGCAGAAAGCAGTTACACAGAAACAAATACATTCCCCAAATACTTCGAGAGTAGCCCCGCTAACGTTAACTGTGCTTGCTTGTGTAAAGTATTCCAAAGCACCTTAAGAGCACTTAAAGCCTTGAAAATTACTTATCATTCTGATTCTACACATTTTCTGATATTACAAAAAAAAGTCAAAAATTTACACAAGCCTGTAGTTATCAGCAACAAGAGATGCAGTCTCTCTCCAGGCTACATGGCTTTACTGAGATGTTGACTTAAAAGTGCTACAGAACTTTGTTTTCATTTTGTGTTCCGAGCAGACAATTACTAACTGCAACTGGAGTT